GCGCTTACGCGCAGCATGCCAAAGCCGTCGATAGGCTCCTGAGCTAACTCTGCGCTAACTCATGTTACAGTCACAGCGCTCGAGATAAGCCTTCCCCCAAAAATAGCTTACCTCCCCTCCAGTCTCCAGGTATCCTCTGTGCGGCGGCGCTAGTGTGTGGGATTTGAACGTATAGGAAAAGGCGTGACGTTAGTTGCAGCACTCCTTGCGGAAGTCCTGCTGCAAGATGTAGCTGAGGTCCCTAACGAGCTGCCGTAGAGTGAGAAGACGTACAGTAAGAGCACCCAGAAAGCAGAGGGCCTCCCATCGAGTCCTCGGGTAACCTATACACAGCGGCCTAGAGGGCATGCTCTGCTACGGAGAGGAAGCGGGATATTGTGACCTGTTGCATCACTCCCTGCAACTCAACCCCACGTATTGGCCCGTCAAAAAAAAACACTTCGCTGCATGCACTAAACACTATAGGCGATTCTTAAACACCTACTTGTTTCTCACTAGCCACCCTACGCGGAAGTAAAAATCTACATACGAACTTCTGACAGACCACGGGGAGCACTACAGTACACCGCAGACCGGACCGTAAGGCTTTGCGTCCCGTCTTGCCATCTCCCCAGAAGAATAGTGCACGAATAGACTTTAATTGTAATATAATTGAATCTAAAGCAGTGTGATGACGTATAGTTTCATATAGGCGCAAATTCCACGTCGATGCGCTCTACCTGTCACTGGGGGCTTCTCGTCTATACGCGAAAGGAGGGCGAAGACACGCATTCGTCGCAGCGGGCGTTTATATTTGTTTTTTCAACGCTTTCCAAACGATACATTAATAAAATAATTCTCTTTGCTACAGACAATCAAGAGCTTGTTCGTAAAACGATCATATGTTCTCTTGGGGGGCGATCGCTGCACCGTTGATCCCACGAAATCCCAAACCCTCCCAAACCGGGTATACAGCGTTTCGTGGCTGTCCTGGCGGAGGTTGCCTCTAATTCATGTTCACGCTTTCATGCTGAATCTGATGGTGTTGTAACCCCTCTTTACCTTCCAGACCACAACAGTTTCTGCTTCCGTGGTCAACCCAACGGTCCGTTCTCAGCCTTCGTCTAGCAAGGGCGACAGAGCTGCGACGAACCCGAGGGAATTATCAGCAGATAAGTCTGTAACAGTTTTCATTCAGGCTGCTTGCTTGATTGCTTGAGGGGGTAGTATTGTTTGCTTCCGGGTTGGTAGTGTGGCCTTTCTTATGCAGCGAGATGGATGGGCACCTCGAGCATCGTCTTACCGTAAATATTGGCTCTGAAGCGGCGGAAGCTGAATCATTGATGACACCCAAAGATGAAGTGGCTGCTTCAAGAGAGCAGACCACGGCACGCGGTAAGAAGGGTGCACCGGCCAGGCGACAGAGGGACTCGCTGCATAAGAGAGGATCCGTCTATGCTTCTCTTGTGGTCCTGGCCTTCACAATTGGTCTTTTACTAGGCACACAGCTGTCTTTCCAACGGGTCCAACTGGGCATCCCTGTCCGCCTTCCCCTTCTCAGGGACCGTAAGGAGCAGGAACTCTCGCTGGAAGCGCCTCCGCGTCATTCATCTTTGCCAACGAAAGATGAAGCTGGATTGGGCACTACCAAAGTGTGCCATGCACGTCCTCCATCCATACCACAGCCATCGTCTCACGATGCATGGGGCTTGCCGCTTCTTAATCACTTTGAGCAGACGCTGTCTCCGGAGTTGAAGCAAGGCAAAGAGGAATTTGCTTCTTTGCTGCGCACGTTGGGCTCATCTAAGGATGAACCCAACGAGGTCTCACGTGCCATAGAAAAGAAGGCAGCTGAGGCTCTCTCTGGAGGAGAGGTGGACGAGTTGGTTGGGATGACTATTTCTCTACGTGATGTTAAGCCGATAAAGCCAGCCGAAGAAGAAGGCGCGCATGTGCCACGCTCAGTCAATGTCAAACGGGTCGTGAGTGTGCAGTACCCGAGTATCGTGATGGAAGTAGTGGATACGGATACTGGGCATACGCATGCGATGAGAATCCGAGTGTTCTCTGCAGAGGGCATTCGGAACGCGCAAGAGGAAAAGGAACTTTTGGCATCAACGCAAAGGTGGGCGGACTCGGAGGAGGTAATCGCAAGGCAGGCATCGCACGGCACGCCGGCTCATTTGGTTGCAACGCAAAAAGGTTTTGCAATTCCCTTGTATACGGGAAACGTTGCAAATGTTCCCGACGTTGTTTTGCATCGGGGATTTTATTTCTTCAGTCGCGTGCAGATCACGCAAATATTGAACGGAGAATCCAGTTTGGGCTCTCTCGCCATGGCCGACATTTCAGTGCGCGCAAAGGAGTACATTGCCCACCGTTTGCTTCATATAGTGCTTAAACTGCAGCAGGCGCTACTCAGCCACAACGATCTTGACTGGAACAACATAATAGCCCGTCCAGATGGCTCTTTATTTATTGGTGGTTTCGATGCTTGCATTCCTTTCGGAAAAGCTATTGGGGTGCACATAAGGCTTTCTGGGAGGCACGTGGAGCCGACGCTGCGGATTCAAGAGGGCGTGTATGGAGGTGATGCTGTTCCTCAGGCGAACAGCGACCTTTGGTCCCTGGGAATGCTACTTTACGAGCTGTTCACAGGCGGAGGTGTGCCTTATACTGAGGAGGAGAGCGACTACGTCGATTTTGCAGAGTCCATGGCCAGATACCTCATCGACAAGGAAGTGGACCCTGTGGAGCTCGTGTATGACCTGGATAAGGCGAATTGCCCGGTCAGATGGAAACAGCTTATCATGAAGCTTCTTAATCCCGTCGGAGGCTCAAGAATAACGGCATGGGGAGTCCTCATGGAGTTTCCCGACCTTGTAGGCCACCGCTTGCCAAAGTAGCGCCAAGATGTATCTCATTTTGTCGTCATTGAAGCCAAGGGAAAACAGCTCATTTTTGACACATATCAGCGCAACCAGTGGCTTAGGATGTGCCTAGGGGAATTTTGTCGGATGCGTAGGCNATTTTTGACACATATCAGCGCAACCAGTGGCTTAGGATGTGCCTAGGGGAATTTTGTCGGATGCGTAGGCCGCCGCCTACCAAGGCACCTTCGCCTTGCGTACATAATATATTCGTGTTACATTTATTTGCTTACAACAGTCGAGATGGGCAGCGTTGCGTGTGATAAAGGTCCTGCACCTACACTTTGTTTCTCGCCCGTGCATTGCACTTGCGACCAAGTAGACTGTCAGTTATCACTGACGGTACGTGTGTTCCGCACCTTCATTCTTGCTAGAATGACAATGCCCGGCCACCGTGCGAACCCTTGAAAAGGTTGTCGAAGCGTTCCGACAATCTTGTTTATTCTCGAAGGAACGGGTCCATATGGCGTATTTTTAAGACATCTGCTCTCTTTGCAATGTAACAACCACACAAAAACAAGGAATACGCAGGCTTTAAATCCCGTCCGGCAAGGCCGACTGCAACGCATCTGAACTTCAGTGAGATATAGTTGCTTGGCGGAAGCTACTGGCAGCGCTAGACTAGGAATGTGATAGCGATGATGAAGCAAACAGCATCAACCAGTCAGGTGATACGGATGATCCGGAAATCTGCTGCGGTGGCAACAGGCCAAGCAGCACATGAAGAAACAGGTTTTTCGGTTGTCCGCTACACTTTTGGCTTCTGTTTGCTTATACAGACTGTCAACAAGNTGAAGAAACAGGTTTTTCGGTTGTCCGCTACACTTTTGGCTTCTGTTTGCTTATACAGACTGTCAACAAGAGGCATTGTAGCCGGTTGGCTTGTGACGTGGGTTTTCCCTGGTAATAATTCTCCAGATGGTTATTGGCGGCGCTCCCCTTTAGGGGTTGATTCTTCGATTCGAAGCCTGATGCTTCTGCATCCTTTCTTCCTTCGTTGGAAATAAAAATGTATACACACGTAGTCTCGGGGGCAGGTACCCCAACTCGATCACGAGCTTGGCCAGAATTGTTCTACCTTGAACGACTCTCCAGCCAACTCTGCACTTCGCTTTCATACAAGCACTATAGATACCCCTGCATAAGTAGGAGTAGCAAATACCACAGGCAGCACTCGGACTGGCTGGACCCCAGGGCAGAATAAGCATTGCTCTCTCCTGAATAATAGTTTCCCCGTAAAAATGCTCGAGAGAACGATACATCTCGGCAGGCAGCTTGAAAGCGTACGATTTGCTTTTGCTCTTTATTCAGCATTGTTTTACAAGTAGTGCATACCTACTAATTCCCACAATGTGGCGCGTGGTGATGCTGCTAACTATTCACAGCCACCCAATGCACACCAGCCCTCACAGTACACGCTACGCATTGCTTCCTGCACAAGAACATCTGTCGAATCAGTAGGAGCGAGATGCGGGAAGTGCATTTTAGGGCGGTACGATGAAGGAGCATAAGCAACTGAAGCCGAAGGTTACTGCTTGACTTCACAGGCCTAGGTGGTGCGCTGTGTACCCCTCTCACTAAATATATTGTGGCACATCTGCAGCCAGACAGACGGCGATCTTCACAAGAACGGAGCGAAGCCTCCGACAGAAAGTGCAGACAAGGCATTTTAATGTCCACACAACTAGATGCTACACATTCCTAAGAGANCTTGACTTTGAAATAAACTAAACAAACAAAATCCAAACTAAACTGAATATAAATAGAATTGAGTTAAACCATTTGGAATGTTTGGCTCATCGGAACGAACGGCGCTGAGCAAGCCAGGTCATGGAAGTGCAATGCAAGTATTCGTTTTTGCGTCCTTGGCACTGGCCAAGCGAACGACACCTGGTTTCCACAGGTTCTGTTCGAGATGGGCGCCTTCTGGTAAGTTTTGGGCGAAGCAGATGTTTGCACGCACTTCGTTTCATAAGTACAACTCTCAGTGGGTAATTCAGCTGGAGTTCGGCTTGTGGCCGACGCCTGTTGACTTGACGGTCACCTGGGCAGAGGGGCGGCCAGAGGAACTTCCTGTTGCCTCAATGCGCTTCAACACCTCCATGGAGTCGTCTGTCACGGTGCCAAACACAACGTGACGGTTGTCCAGCCAAGGCGTGGCGACAGTCGTCACAAAGAATTGCGAGCTGTTGGTGTTCGGCCCTGAAGCAGCGCAACAGACCAAGAAGATAAATACGCCAAATTAAACCCCCTACCCTGGAGAATGCGGAAACCCTCAATACAGTGTGCGTAACATTTAGCAGAAGAGCAACGGTATCCCAAGTTGGTCTATACCATATTCTCATAAAACAAGAGATTACATGGCTGTGCAGCTCCATGTTGCACTGCACTACACCGATTGCGTATCGTTGCTGCCTGGTGAAATACACCTTCGCCTATCGAATGNAACACCTACCGGCGTTTGCCATAGAGAGGATGCCTGGGCCAACGTGCTTCAGTTCGAAGTTCTCGTCGTTGAAAGACGGCACTGGTGATGTGTCTGCGCCTGGCAGAACGTTTCGCTGTACATCTCCTCCCTGAAGATAAGAAACAGAAAAATAACAAAACCATAGGCTCAAAGCAACGGCTCTGGCTGTATCTAATGTAAGTGACGGCTATGAGTACGACGACGGGAGAACAGGAACGGGCGGCAACGGCGGCTGACCTGAACCATGAAGTCAGGGATAATTCGATGGAAGGATGTCCCGGTGTATCTTGGGAGGAGGTCTGCCACAGAGAAAACAAAATGCAAACAACGCAGTCGCTCGTCTAGCCAGGGAAAGATTAGACATCGTGCCCACCAAGAGGCACCAAATGAAAGCATACAACCCTGAATCCCTGAATCTAAAAAGGACAATGAATATCTGTTAGCAGGCTCTGTTCTATCCCAAAGACAATTCGTGCAATCGGTAACCTACCGACGAAGTTCTTTACAGTCTTGGGCACGACGTCTGGCCTCAATTTGAAGTTCAGAAATCCAATGGCTTCACCGTTAATAGCAATCTCCATGTATGCCTCCTGCAGACGCCACAGCTCCAATATAACTCTACGGTAAACCGTTGCAGAATGCGAGCACAAAAAGGGCGAGCAGGGGGAAACGCACCTTGACAGGGTCCGCTGCGGCCCGTAGGCAGGCAGTCACGGCCAANCAAGGCATGAGATCGAGGTTGGTGGCACTCTGAAAAGCAAAATCCTACTCAGCTGACATCATAGAAAACACGGAGCTTCTGAGACGATGGATGCAGTATTTGCAGTTCCAACGCTGCGCTACATGAACCCAGACGGAGGCATTTGCCGCATAAATAGCATCGCTAAATAGGATGCAAATCAGTGCGTATAGCTACACAAAAGAAGCAACTTCCTATGAGCCCGCTTCTTTAGCTTCAAATGCGCTTTGACAGGGGTGGCGGCAGCCCACAGACCAACGGGGTGTGACGGGTTTCCAACTCACGGCTGCTGTTTTCATCTTTCCTGGAAGAAATTGACGGATAACAGTAAGAAAGAAACCTTTAAAAACAAATAAAACAAAAATGACGAGTGTAAGAGGGCGTAGACAGCTGCAGCAAACAGTTGGCATCCGGCGGGCGGGATGCGCCTGGCGGTGGCGTGCGCAGGCGACGGGTAGCAGTGGAGGGAACTGCACGTACAGCAGCCATACCGGGCAACTTACACCAAATTATCGAGATTATTTTCCATTATTTTTATCTAACTCAACGCGTTTTCACACTTACTATTTCTCTATTTCTTTTGTATTTCGCTCGCTTGTCAAGTCGGTGACCGGGGCCGCCGTGGGGTGGGAGCGGAAGCGTCCAACTACATAACAAATGACCGCTACTTAATTCCCAAAAGACAAATTTTGAAACGAGGAGAAATTTCACTAGTACAGTAATGCCCTCCATCTAATGGTATATACTGAGGCGAACCAGCGGTTCCTGCCTCCGACACGACCGCCAGCCCCAGCCAGCCCAAGCGGTGAGTCGCTTTCTTATGCAGGAAGTATAAAGTTAATGGTGTTGTTTTCCTCCTACCTCTTCGATTTCTTCTGCAAGTGCGTTTTAGGTGAAAGGCTTGGGTCTTGGAGCTCCTGCCCGCTGCGGTCGCTGGCATTTGACTTAGCAATGGAGCCTCAGGGAGGCAGCGCCTCGTTCTTGTCTTTTCTGATTGCTGCATTCACTTAGCTGGAGGCTCCAGAACAAGGGAATGACTCTGAAAGCGCCGCTGCAGGCCAACCAAACGATAGGGGAGCAGCTGCCTGACCAGCTACAGCATAGCCGGCGGCAGCCGCAGCAGTAACGGCAAAAGAAGCGTCAACTACAGCAGCAACAGCAACAGCAACAGCATGCTCTTTCGCTCTGGCTTTCGCCATGGAGCAGCGGTACAGGCTGCTGGGCTGTTGCTTGCTTTGCTGGTACTGCTCCCGCTGCTGCCTGTTGCAGTACTTCTTCTGACAAGGGAGCAACGGCAGCTAAATGAGCAGCAGCAGCAGCAGCAGCAGCAGCACGAAGTAGATCTGGCAGCTGCAGGCGTCCGGCCACTGGAGGTACCCTTGGCTATACACTCCGTGCAAAGGCAGCAGCAGCAGGCGGGGTCAGATGAAGCAGAGGCTCTGCCTGTGTACTTGCTGGGGCAGAAGGCGCAAGAAGAACACCGGGAACTGCATCAGCCAGAGAATAAGCGGCAGCAACACTATGGCCATCCACTATGGCACCTCCTGAAAGGAGAAGCAACGTTTGAATCAGAGAAGCCTCAGCAGCAGCAGCAGCAGCAGCAGCAGCAGCNCTCCTGAAAGGAGAAGCAACGTTTGAATCAGAGAAGCCTCAGCAGCAGCAGCAGCAGCAGCAGCAGCAGCAGCCGCAGCCGCAGCGGCAACGGCAGCAGCGAGAGGAGACACCGAATGGATGGATTCCCCAGGGCCTTTTAGGGGAGCGTCCAGATGATTCCTTACCTCATGGAGTTACTGTGTCTGTTGCTGCGCCTGCTGCGCCTGCTGCTCCTACAGCACAACCGGCTGCTGCTGCACCTGCTGCTGCTGCTCTGTCGTCGATACTACCGGCTGAGTATCACACAGGAGTCATGCCGCTCACTTTAGCTCCCAGCCCTCCATCTACTGCTGCTGCTGTTGCTGCTACTGCTGCTACACCGGGGATCGCAAGAGATACTGCAGCAGCAGCAGCTGCTCCCCCCGCTGTTGAAGCTGCGTCTATAACGACACCCCCGCCAACCTTTATGCAACAACAACTGCAGCAACAGCAGCTGCTGCTGCAGCAACAACAGCAACTACTGCAGCGACAACAACACTGGACAGGATCTACCACTACCCCTCTACATACGGGGGCTGCAGCAACACCCCCACTCCCTTCTACTCAGCAGATGTATCTCCACCGTGCTGCGGCTACACCGCTTGTGTTGTCGCCATTTGGCGGCTCAACAACCTCTCCCACGAGGCAGCAGCAGCAGCTGTACGCGCAGCACCAGCAGCCGCTGCCATACCTTTTGCTTCCTTCTGGTACAGCCACAGTTGCTGCTGCGGCGCCTGCAGCTTCATCTCTTGTTGGCCTAGAGCCCAAGCAGCAAGGCAGCAACGGCCAACTCCACATAGGTGTGCAGCAGCAGAATGAGCTGCAGCAGCAGATGCGGCAGCAGGTGCAACAGATTCAATTCGAGCAACGCCACAGAGCAAGCAATGATGTTGCTGCTGCTGCTGAGATATCTACACAACAGGAACTGGATTCACCAGCAGCAGCAACAGCAACAAAGAAAAAAACAACAGCAGGAACAGTGCCAGCAACTGCAACCGAGAATGAGCCGTCACTTCTGTCTGGGTTTATAGAAGAGGAAACCAGCCAAACAGCTGAAGAGAAAGCTGATGTATTGACAGCAGATACAGGTGAAATTCCCCTTGAAGATGAGCAAGATAATGANCTGAAGAGAAAGCTGATGTATTGACAGCAGATACAGGTGAAATTCCCCTTGAAGATGAGCAAGATAATGATAGCTCTGCTGTTGCACCGAGCTGGGAGCCACGCACAGCAGCAGCAGCAGCAGCAGCAGCAGAAGCCGCATCAGACAGCACAACAATAGAGACAACAGAAACACCATCCGCCTCCCCCCCCACTAAGAAAGATATCCGGTGGGGTGCTGCAACGATGGGTGAGGCTGTAGAGCTCCCTGAGGCAGAGTTGAAACAGCAGCAGACAGCAGAGCCAGAGGTCTCGAAGGAAGCAGGTGATGGAGCTATCGTCAGCAGCACACAACTGGGGGATGAAGAGGAGGACGACGAGGGGAAACCAGTGATAGATAGAAACCAAGAGGAGTCAGATGAGGCAGAGGAGCTAGAGGACTTTGAAGCTGAGATACATGAACTGCAAGCAGCAGCCCATCATAAAGAAACAGCAGAAGAATCACTTATAGAAACAAAAGACGAAATGATAGACGCAATGGAGGAANCCATCATAAAGAAACAGCAGAAGAATCACTTATAGAAACAAAAGACGAAATGATAGACGCAATGGAGGAAGGGGTGGTGATAGAATCACAAACAGGCTTTGGTTCCAGCGGGAAGAGAGTAGAATATGAGGATGCAGACAGCGATGAAGACGAAGATAGCGATGAAGAAGATGAAGATGATGAGATACACCAGCTTCTTCTTAGCACCAGCAGCAGTAGCAGCAGCAGCAGCAGCAGCAGCAGCATCGGTGGCAGCAGCAGCACTAGAAGCGGGCATTCACACAAAATGCAGTGGTTAGACAGCGATATTTCTAGCGTCGATGCAGACATCCAGCACGTCGATGTAGCAGCGGCTAAAAGGCCGATGCACGATGATCATCAGTGGGAACATGAGCAACAGCAGCAGCAGCAGCAGCAACAGCAACAGCAACAACAGCAGCAACAGCAACAGCAAGAGATCAGTCTAACGATGACAGGCTCAGCAAGCAGTCTGCCGATCGCAGTCAGTCCTGAAACGCTTACTGTATCTGGTGCGGCTTCTCCCCTTGCTGCAGCGGCTTCTGAGGCGGAGTCTGCTGCTGCTGTTCACCCTATTGCTGCAGCAGTTCCTGGCTCTTCTCTCACTCACACTCCCGTAGTAGATGCCTCTACAGTCATCACAGGTCAAGATCTAGGCACGCGGGTGCTTCTACACCCTAGCGGGGATCCGGCACTGCTGCTGCTGCAGCAGCCGTTGCAACAGCACCTGCAGCAAACGACCCAACAACAGGTACTACAACCGCTGCAGCAGCCGCTGCAGCAGCCGCTGCAGCAGCCACTGCAGCAGCCGCTGCAGCAGCCATTGCAGCAGCCGCTGCAGCAGCCACTGCAGCAACCGCTGCAGCAGCCACTACAACAGCCGCTGCAGCATCCACTACAACAGCCGCTGCCTCAGCCTCTGCAGCAGACGCTGCAGCCACCCCTGCGGCAGCAACTGGGAGACGCCAGCTCTTTGCTGACTCCGCAGGAGTTAATCAAGCAGCAGCAACTGCAGTTGCAACAGCAACGGGCAATGGTGGAGCAACTGCAGCAACAGGTGGCAATGCAGCAAGACTTGCTGCTACGGGCTCAAGAACAGCAGCTGCAACAAACTCAGCACCAGCGCATGCAGCAACAGCAACAGCAACTCCTACATATGCAGTTAGCCCATGTCAGTGAGAAACAACAGGTGCAGGGAGCTTTGCTGCAGCATCATCTCCAACAGCTGCAACAGCAGCAGTTGCAGCAACAGAAACTCCAGCAACTGCAGCAGCTGCAGCAGCAGCAGCCTTTACAGTCACAAACGCAGGTGCTATAGGTAAGACAGCCTTTTATATTGGTCCTGGTTTTGGTGCATTGTATGCTGCAAGAGCAGCAGCAAGAATAGCAACAGCAGTTGCTGCTGTAGAAGTAGCAGTGCCGGCACCAGCCGCACAAGGGATACTTGTTGCTGCACCTAGGGCTGAACATGCCACACAGTTACTTTAGCTAATAGCCCCGCTAGATGTAGCAGAGAACATAAAAGCATCCTAGAGCTGCAGTTCTATGGGTAGAAGCGCCGCGGGCGGGAGGGACTGTAGAGACTATGGCGGCGGCGTTTGCAACGAAAGATGCATCTGCATATATGATGCATCTGCCTGTATGATATGTGAGAAATCCGGTGACCGTCGGGAATACACTTCATTGCTGTACACGCACATAACTAGAGTGCAGCCGCAGCAGCTAAGCTGCCATAGCGGCAGTAAGCTTATTAGCAGCTGTTGCAGCAAAGGCAGCAGTGGCAGCAACAGTCGTCGTTTCGTTTGCAGTTATGAAGTAAAACAGACA